GGTCATAAAACATAGTTATTCTTTTGAATTGTTCTTCCAATTCTTCCAAATAAATGGCTGCATCGTGATAGTCTTTTTCAAATAATCTCCTCATCCTGGTTATGTTTTTTTCATATTTCCCAAGTAGTTTTATACTTTTATTTTCCTGATTTTCCTGAATAATTTGAAGGCTCTCTTTAATTACTGATTCATGTTTGGGTGAATTTGAATTTATTTTTTCGCTTAATTCTTCTAGTAATTTAATTTTGGTTGCATTAAATTTTTCTTGTATTCCATAGTAGTCTTCATCTAAATCAAATTCATTTTCACCTAATTCGATTTTATCATAAAAAATAGTTATTCTTTTGAATTGTTCCTCCAATTCTCCCAAGTAAATGCTGCTGTTTTGATAATCTTTCTCGAATAATATCATCATCCTAATTACATTTTTTTTATATTTCGCAAGTAGTTTTAAACTTTTACTATCCTGATAAAGTGGAAGATCCTCTTTATTTACTGATACTTCAATACTCTCAGGTCTGGGTGAGGTTTTATTTTTCTCCTTTTTTAATTCTTTTAATAATCTGAATTTAGCAGCATTGAATTTCTCTTGTATTCCATAGTAGTCATCATCCAGATTAAAGTCATTTTCTAGTTCAATTTGATCATAAAAACTAGTTATTCTTTTGAATTGTTCTTCCAATTCTTCCCAATAAATGGCTGTATCTTGATATTCTTTCTCGAATAATGCATTTATTCTGGTCACATTCTTTCTATATTTTTGAAGTAATTTTATACCTTTATCATGTTGATTATTTGGAGGGTCGTCTTTTAGTAGTGCTATCTCGATGTTCTGAGGTTTGCATGTATTTACAGTTTTCTCTTCGTTTAGTTCTTTTAGTAATTTAATTTTGATTGTGTTGAAATCCTCTTGTATACCATAGTAGTCATCATCTAGACCAAATTCGTATTCTTCTAATTCAATTTTATCATAAAAAATTGTTAACCTTCTAAATTGTTCTTGCAATTCTTCCAAGTAAATGGTAGTATATTGGTAATCTTTCTTAAATAATGCCTTCATTCTGGTTACGTTTTTTTTATATTTTCCAAGCAGTTGCATACCTTTATTATCCGGATTCATTGACAAGTCGTCTTTTCTTGTGGTTTGCATTTCTTGTTGCAAAATTTTTTCTAAATATTTTTTTGCCATAACTATATATCCTTTTATCGTTGGGTAAGATATTGAAATGTACTGTCCATATGGATACGATTCAGTTGGCTCTGACAACAATTTTCTATGATTTGCTATGAATAGGTCCCGTAGATCATCGACGGTTTTTATACATTCTGATATTCTAGTTTCTGGCAACTTACTTTCTAGAAACAAGTTTAGTATTCTCTTTATTTCCATGTGTATAGTTTGCTGCTTTTGATAAAGTTCTGAACTCCTGTATGAATGCATTTTCAATATATATTCGTTTTTCTTTTACGATTTTCAAAGTACTTCTATTGCTCAAGTCTCAAATACACTTTATGGAATCACTAAAATATTTTGAAATTAACAGACACAAATACGTTAAATATTTATATGATACTGAATTTTTGCAAAAACTCTGAACCTATTTATACAAATTTTCCTAATACAGTTCTATTAATTAATAGATCAAGAATATTAGTATTCTTGGAATAATTAAGAAGGATTAAAGGGCAGCCTTACAATTAGTGGGCTATATTTTAAGAGCATATGTTTCAAAAGTCAAAAAGGATTACCTGCTAAATATGCGAAATTACACACTTTTTGCGCTAACATTTAAAAGCAGGTATGTAATTTCAAAAAAAATTTGATCATAAATAGAATATAATGAAATATGCTGTTTATAGTTAATCGGTCACATCTGCTGTACTTTAGAATTTCCAAGTATTGATGAAATGTTTTACTAACTTCTGTATGGCTTAAAAACAGGTCAATATTTTAATTTCTTTTAATCCCTATGTTAATAGAAGATTGTGAAATTTTGTAAAGAAAAGAATAATCAATATGTAACATGTATAACGGTCGCCTTAAATATGTTCGAGTTTTGGTTGTCTACACCTGCATTGTTTGAAAATTCATAAAACTTCTACTTTCTAAATCGGATAACGTTCGAGATTGATCGCTCATCAAGCGTAAAGTGAAAAAGGTTTTGGGACCATATAAAACTATATTGTACTACAAATACCATTGACTCCGTAGGAGTGGAGAGGAATTAGATCAATTTTTGTAGTATACTACTATGACACACGTACCTTAAATGGTATTTGATTGTTACTAAATCAGGGATAAAATATGATAAAATAGCCAGATATAAAAGGTATAAAAGGTTAGTTAGGATAGTTAAAAGGTTAAGATTGGTTTGAATATAAGATTTTAGATTGGAAAAATATGCAAAAAGTATAACAATTGTATTTTTCGGCACTTCAGATTTGATGAGCGATATGTAAACAGTGTTCGATTGATATACATAACACCTTATATGTAAAAGCTCTCTGAATACATACATATATATATATAATTTCTTTTTTAATTAATAAATCTATGTATACATTATACAATATATACATGTTGTGAATATTATACATACTTATATGTATTATAAGATTGGAAGGAATGAACTGTAGAACATTAATTGAGGTGTTGACAGGCTACTGACTGGTCGCATCACATGCGTACATACTAAATCCAACTTGCAGCGATGCTTGTAGGAAATGCACCGAGTCGGATGCAAAGGAAACAATTACTGCAGCGGAGACTGTAATTTAAGAAAGCGTTTAACCGCAGGATTCGAGAACGCTAGAAATGCTTGTATTTTTAAATCTTTAACACCTCAACAAAGTAGATAGTTTAAAAGCGCGTTATCTTGTGAGTAATTGTAAAAATTTTAAATTTAATTTTGTTAAGAATAAATAATGAATAAAATAAATAATAAATAATAAAAAAATTCGAATGAAGTATCGTACTGTCTTATCCCACAGTAAGATCTTCTAAACCAAAATTCTTGACTACAAAGAACACTTAATGATTCGAATTGTGTTATAAAGTGACACTTGAATTAATTTGCTTATCGGCTTTTATGTTCTTCCCATTATGTACTATGGATACTATGGATCTTTTTTCTACATTATTATGAGCTTACAAAATTATAGATATTGAGTTTACCGTTAATTTTTAGTGTACTCTGAATATAATTTACTATGGATACGTCCCACACACTTTTACTTCCAAGCATCTTTTACGAAAAGTTTTCGTTTGCATAAATATTTTTAGTGAAGCGAGACTTAGAAAAAAAATTCGTTAATTGAATAGAATCTGAGTTCTGAATTTGGTATTTGTCATTTTAAGAATTCAATGAACTTACTTAGTTTGAACAATCGCGTTCCGGATATTCAATATGCAAACATTTGATTTTTTTTAAGTCTTGGATGTAATTTTAATGGTTGACTTATCTATTGACTAATTGTGTTGGTTATTTATTTTACATTGTATTTTTATTTAAGTACGCCCTAAAGTAAAGTTAAGATTAATGAATAGTTAATTGAAAAATATTAAATACTCTAAAAATGTTAACAGAATTTAATCGTTTACAGATATTTTGCTTGATAGAAACTGATTCCAAAGCAAACATTTTCATTGAATAACAAGACAACTTAGTGCAAATGTTAGATTCATAATTTTTCAATGTCCACCGGGGTTTTTGGTATTAATCTTAAATATTGCATAAATTAAATTCTGTATATGTATATATCAGAGATATATTTATATACATATACACATATTCAAAAATTAAAATCTCAATGCTAAGAATAGGAAGCTGATATGTAACCAGATAATTCAACCGTCACTTCTATATAGATGTGTAGCGTTCAGCAAGACCTCAAACACTACCATTCGCCAGCTAGAAATTGCACAACGCCAGAGTCTGAGAAGACTTTTCAAGGTACCATGGTACATTATGACGAATGACATTCTTAGGGACCTCAAGATTAATCCGTTCAAATAATGTATAATTGATAGAGCACTGAAATAAGTTACGAAAACCGCGTTATCGATTCTTAGAATGGTTACAAGTTTCTCTGGGAGGTATGCAGATCTGAGGTCAGTTATTGCTTAGTCTGATGAAGTGATAAACAATACTCCAGTCAATGCATAGAGAGGGGTTATTAAGAAACCTCGCAGTTAATAGAGAGTAAAAGTGCTCAAGTGCACTGACTCAACTAGGCTCAACATAATAATATATACATACCTATAAGTATAACTTGACTTAGGTAAAGTAAGGACAGTATTGACTATATGATATAAAATCAATTGAGAGTGGTGGTAGAAGAATAGAATGACGTGCTTTGGTTTCTAAAGACATTAAAATTCGATAAAATGTTTATGTATTCCTATAAATCATATTCATATGTTAAGCATATATGCGATTTTTGGTTTTGAAAAATACTAGTACATAGTTTGCTATATATAATATATGTGCAGTGTGCGAAACAATTTGTAGGAAGCGGAAGTTTTACATTAAAAATAAAAATATTGTCATTATTAAATAATTCATGTCTTTATTTTTTTTCATGCAAAAAGATATTATTGTAAATAAAAGATACTAGAAAGCTTTAACAATATATAAAAATTTATTTCTCTATAAACGATAAAAAGCGAATGATAACATAAGTAGTAAAAAAATATTGCGTACATTGAAAATAATGTCATTAATTAGCTTACTTTTTTAAACAGCGCTTAACAAATTAGTGATATCTTATCTTTTACATTGACAGTTACCGATCTCTAAAAATCCACGCCACGTATAAGCCCCCGCACATGTATACTCTATGTATACTCTTCATAAACATATACACGATACTTATAGATATGAATGCAAAAAATTTGATAAATGAAGACAACATGTTTGGGTGTATTAAAATATTAGCCGTTTGAAAAGATATCGAAATGCGTGTTCTTTTAGAAAGGACTTCAAGAAAAACAATATGAATTATTTAATAAAATTAAGTTTATTTATACATAAAATATAAAATATATTAATAAGTTATTAATTTTGATTGCAATTGTTATTCATTCAAAGGCAATTAGTAGACACTAATGTATACTGTTTGAGTGAAGCGATTGTTTGCTTCTCGTAGAGTAGTGCTTCTGGTCTCTGGTATTGATACGAAGAAGAGTAAGGTGAAAACAATCATTATAACGCCTGTTGCTATGCAGTAAGCGAATATAGACGATGCTCCAAACGTGAAAGTACATATGATGATGATTTGTATGACTTGTTCTACAATAACGCATAAAGCCATGCAATATGGTTTCGCTGACAAGTGGAAGGCTTCTCCCAAAAATGCTGAGGTTGCAGGCACAAACAAACCAGCAAAGAACTGTATTAATAGCGAAAGTGTGCAAACTACAGACATTTTGTATTCACTTAAAAGGTTAACGGAGTCATTGAAAATAGATCCAATACCAATAGTGAGTCCTCCGATAATTAATAAAGAAAATAATGATACAGATTTGCGACCTAAACCATCCATCAACCACAATGGAAGGAATGTGCCCAAAAAGCGTAGTACACCATAAACAATTGGTGGCCAACTGTCCACATATCCCATACTAATAGTACTTGCAAAGAAAATCGTAAGATTTAGTGGTAGTGTAAAAGTAAAGGGAACCATAGCGCGGAATAAAATAGCTTTAAGTAAGGGCATGTGTGTTCGAGGTGCATAAATATCTCTATCTTCTTGCATGTATAACTTAAGTTCCTCAAGTTGTGCGCGTGTCGCATCAGTTACTACATATGGTCGTTGCAATCTACGTAATGATTCTAGAGCAGCACCTTCATCACCCTTACGTAAATAATAGATTGGTGATTCAATTATGGAATAAGTAGCTCCTAACGCAAATACAGCTATTACAATCGTTATGATGCCATGAAGACGATTAGCAGAGAAGTCGTAGTAAGAAGACCATTGTGTTGCATAAACGATTTGTATCATAATACCCAATGCCAGACCATATTGTTCCAGAGAAAGACATGTGCCACGATACGATCTTACGCCAATTTCACTACCCAACACTAAAAATGGTATAACAGCAAAACCAATAGCAAATCCATTTATATAACGTGCGGCTAATATTGCGTCGTAATTATCGGGTGCACTTGTGAAGATAATGCCTCCGGCTAGAACCAATATGCCACTGAACAACTGTAAAGTTGTGAAGAAATGAAAATAAAGTTTTTAATAAATTATTAGCTACATACCATGTACCATCTTTTTTGCACAAATGTTATGAGTGGCGCTGCTATGAATGCACCTACAATAACTCCAATGAACCAACTAAACTGTAAATGCTCTGTTGTTGGAACGGAAGTATAATAATTCCACCCAAGACCAAGAGCCAAGTTCATACCACCAGGTATGAATAACAGGGTTCCTTTATAATTTAAAAATAAAATAAGTTATAAGTCAATTTTTATGAGGTATTACAGTCAGTAAAAACCTAAGGATTGGAATGATTGTTGGATTAGTGAGATTTTTTCATGAAACTATTTTAGGTTTAGTATGATAATATTTCAGATTGCTAAAAACAACATTGTCAAAATGTCAATTTATTTAATATATATATTTACACTTTAAAAACACATACATTAACTTTTAAATTATTAACTTGACTTAAATGTTTTCAAAATTTATTATCTTTATATATGTATATCATAAGTTATAAAAATGATTCATTACTTTAGTTTACTTTTTTAAATATTTAAAAAAAATAGAAATTAATTCAATTTTTTTAGGATTTTAGTATATAAGTAAATCATAATGGAATAAAGTAACTCGGCATTTAATAACAGCGTGAAGGACTTCAGAAATTTATTCTATAAAAGTCTTCCTTGATTACATTAAATCAGTTGTTGTTTTCAAATCATTAATTTTAATTTTATTAATTTAATTTTAATTTAATTAATTATTATTTTAGATAATATTGTATATTTTATGCAATCCATGATTTAAGTTAACATAACGTCTTTGATATTTATTTCACGTTTTTTCAATGTTTAAGAATATTTTAATATATTATTTTAACATATTGTAGCTATTATAAATGTTTTCGATATTATGAAATTGTTCACTTCTAATGATTCACCTGCTAGCATGGAATTCGATTGCGCTTGATTTGTCCATCTAGCCGACATTTTCTTATACGTTTCACTCTTTATCGATTATTTTTAAATTCGTTGTTTTCGATATAAGACAATAAAATAGACTAAATTAAAATTGTTTGGGTAGCAGGACTATAAAACATTGTTGCACATTTATTATCAATATATTATCATAATATGTTTTTAAATACAAAAAACAAAAACACATTACAAGATAAGAAAATGATGAATTAACGTATATTGAAACACTACAAAAGGTATTGAGTTGATCAAAATAACAGAAGGAATAGTTAACATATAGTATAAAAAGAAGATATTATATTATTATAATAATTAAATAATTATTTGCTTGCAATTGATAAAAAAAAAAATTAGAGAAAATTTATTCTCTTTATTCTGCAAGTAAGATTTTTGTGAAGATTTCAAAGACATTCCAGATATAGAAGTAGAGTATCGTGTTGACGAGTATCTTCTGTCACTCGCCCGTAGGTATCTCACCCGACTCCATGACCTTCCCCCCGACGTCTCTACTCCTATCACTCTTTCAGAAGACCTTGTTCTAGCTTTGCGATATAAGCCCCCCCAATACCTAACACACTACTTCGATGAAGTGGACCATAACCTCACCACTATCCCCTTATATAACCGCGGCTTTCGTGACCCTAGTCAAAAAGTATACTGTTGATTCAACCACCGCTAGTTAGCCGTAACCCCTTCCCCTTCTATATCGTTCTTTCTACCTAGTTCATGCCCTTGCTTTCTGATTAAAATGAGCCTAGTTCACTAGGTATTAAATCTATTTTCTCATTCCTCTCTCCCATGATTACTGGAATGAAGTTTCCACATTGCTGTGGAAATCTTCTCCTTTCATTTCTAAGAGGTGGTTTTAGTGGGTTCAAGTCTCACACTGTGGCTTTCGATGCTTTCCACCTACTGCAAAACAAAAAAAGGAGTAGATCAAGAAAAAAATTAATTAATTATTTATTAATTAATTAATCACAATATCTTAATCGTGATAATTAACTTCATTACAACGATGTATTTATTTATACATTTATACTAACTTTCGGAGAAAAGATATATAATAAATATATATATATATATATATTGTCAGAACAATATTTTTATCAAAGAATTTTACTATGTATTAAAGGAAATGCAATATAAGTAATTGTAAGATCTACACATATTTATTTCAGAAATTAAATTGAAGTATATAAAGATCAAGTTAAAATATTTATAATTTATAATAACTATTATTACTTTAAATTTTAATATATAATATATAGATTATATGTACATTAATATATACAAAATATGTCAATGCAAACTATAGGGTGATTATGTTTCGTATTCAGATAAAAAATAATTTTAATTTTTTGATAATAACATATAACTTTATATGTATATTTTAATAATAAATATAACTTATTGATAAGGGTAACTAGTATCAGTTTTAAGGGAACTACACTGAAAGCTATGAGTCATTAGTGCAAAGTTAAAATGGTTTCTTCGTAACTCAATATTTCAAAATGTTTTACAATACAAAGCATATCTACTAGAATACCCTAAAATATTTTATCAATAAAAAATAAAAATCGATAAAATATACTTATTTTAGTCATGTCATTAACAAACATATAAATATATTAGTATATTACGTCATTAATTCAGTAGTAGTATGTGAATAATAGTTTAATGTACTAGACGGGCTGAAAGTCCTCAAGAGAAATTATAACGTTATAAAAATCCAATTATAGCCGTAATTGTCTCTTTCAAATTTGCAAAAAAACAACCTTAAGTCTTATGCCTCATGTCTTGACTTTATTAGTAAATGAAATGCTCATATAATTTTAACGAATGACTGGAATTTTGCAATATATTTCCAGTGAACATTCAGAATAGATTGATTTTTAAATATGACTAAACACACACTTCTTCATTGCACAAAACTTGATATACTTGTAGCCTAAGGTATCATAATATGTTCTGAGTTTAACTTATCTCCGTATCAGGTCCATATCAAACATATATGGGTCTATATGCGTTTGTCTAATATGCCTAAACTTTTGTTGTGCAAAGTACATTTATTATTGCACTAGATTAATTGTTACTTTACAGCGTTGTTATTGTATTCTATAATAGCTGATCAGGCTATCGTTTGATGAAATATGGTAGTTGTGGTAATATGAGTATTCAAGAACGTAACAACTGATATTGCTTTGCGAGAATAGCTTCAATAGTGTAGAAATGGAAATACTAACATAATTTATATACCTATTTCTTAAGATTATCTTGGTTCAACTAAGATGTAATAATGAATATACCCTGAATTTATTATAATAATTGATTTGAGTATAATAAGGTAAATAGATAATTTAGATAATAATTACAAATTAATTAATGATAATTATATTGTTTGTAGATAGTTATTAGTTATATGTTGTCGAGACTTTTCACTTAGGGTAGTGTTATGCATACATTTATGTTCACATCAAATGTAAATTTATTGTTTCTAATATAAATTAATATTATAAGAAGGTGGGCAGGAAAGAAATTTTGGTTCTACGTCACCTTAGAATAAAGAAGTATATCCACGCCAAAAATAATGCCCTTTAAATTTAAAATTAAGAATTGTGATTTAACTGAAAGCATAGCATGCCTACAGTATAGCATGTAACAATCAGAAAGTTTTTAGGAATGCCCTGACGTTTACTTATATGTGTTGCTAAAGATGTTTAATAAAAACGTTGATATAAAATTTTAATTTTTATGAAATTTTAATCATTTAGCTATATTTATTAAATTATTTAAAAATCATCTTAAGTATATTTAACATATTCATAACATAGTAATAATAGAAAACATATGTACTCGTGCAGATATTTACATTATATAATTCTAAAGAACTTCACATTGCCAATAAAATTTATTACTGAGAGAAGGGTATATCATTAAAAACATTTCTTAATGACGCTATTAATTTTATCTTGCAGCTCAGATATCTATTGAATTCACTCTAAGTCTATTACTATTACTAACGCTGTATTACTAAAGCTGTGCACTTATTGATTATCAAATATAGAGACAAATTGTTTAATAAAAATAGGAAATGCTTTTAATTTCATATATATTTATTATTAATTTTTTATGTTGATTATTTTACTGTAACGATTCTCAGCTTCCAATAATGTATTTTTCTTTAAATTTGGTAAAGTTATCCAAAAGATAAAACTTAAACCAACCATAATAGCACCAGTTGCTATGCTATATATAAAAATAGCATATCTTGAAAAAACAAAAGTGCATATGACTATGATATGTACAACTTGCTCTATTGCAATGCTAAAAGCTATAAAGTATGGCTTCAATATCATGGAAAATGCTTCGCCTAGGCAGGCGGAAGTACTAGGCACAAAGATTCCAGCAAAACATTGTGTTAATAATGATAGTACCAATACGACTGTAAACTCCAGTTTGTTGAATGCTATTCCAATGCCAATAGTCAATGCACCCATTATTAACAAACTTGGTATAAAAATGATTTTAGATACAAATTTATTTATTAAGGTTACTCCAACTATTGCAGCTAATAATCGCAAACCACTAAAAACTATTACAGGCCAAACATAAGAACCAACACTTAACACTGAAGAAACTAAAAATGCTTCATTTAGCGGCAATGAGAAACTGAAGGCAACCATGCAACGATAAAGTAGAACTTTTATAAGTGCAAATAGACTTCCGGAGAAATTCTCGCATCCGCTATTTTCTGTATTTGCTTTAACATATTCCTTAATTTCAATCATTTGTGTTCGTGCCTTTTCTGACATAATAGATGGTCGGTAGAAGCGAAGAAGACTTTGTAAAGCCTGAGTTTCATCGTTTTTTCGTAGGTGATATATAGGTGATTCATAAACAAAGTATAAAATTCCCAAACCAACTGCAGCTGTCACAATAGTAAAAATACCAACTATTAAGTTACCAATGCCCTCAGCAAGTGTTTGTATAGAATAGGAAAAAGCAAGTGTTATTATAATTCCCATAGATATGCAATATTGTTCTATTGCCAGAGCTACTCCTCGACTTAGAGTGCAAACCTCTGCAGCATGCACTAAATACGGCACTGTAGCAAAACCATTGGCAAATCCATTCAAATAACGTGCAACTAAAATTGCAACATAATTGTTGGGGACAATGACAAAAATCAAACCACTTGCCAATGCGAGAGTGCAGCATAACATCTAGGAGGGAAATAAATGTTAATAAATAAATAACAACAGAAATATTGTTCTTACCATTAGCCATCTCTTTTGCACAAATGACATCAGTGGTGCTACTAAAAAAGCACCCACTGCATATGCGATAAACCAGCAGAGTCGATATTGAATAGTTATAGGCACGTTTTCGCCAGTACTCCATCCTAAGCTGAGTGAGATTTGTAACCCACCAGAAATTATTACACATAACGCTATAGTAATATGTAAGGAGTATTTTATTAATAAATTATATTGATATTTATAATATTCATTTATGAATTGAAAAATATTTTGCAAAGAACGAAGTTGAAATGTCTATTAGTTACTGATTATCATAGCAAATTATTTTGACAAATAGAAAGTAATAGGGATGTACGCTTTCAAAGGAACATAACATTGCAACCATAGTACTTAATATATTCGTGGAAACTGAAAAAGCTCTTAGTCAGGAGAGAGGCTTAAGACGCAAAAGCTAGTACCGAGAAAACATATCAGTGAATATTGCATTGATATGATTCCAAGAGTTTGAAATTGATGGAATTGATTTTCTGGCTAAAATATCGTCTTAGAGTTTTGGATACTCTAACGACTAGAACACATGTATTTGTGCATTAACATGGCACAACATTTTCTTCTTGGCTCAGAGCAAGAAGCTGGAAGCTTTGGTTAGCAGTTTACGTCTCTATGGGCAGAAACTACATTCTGTGACCTCGAACAAATACACCTTGTTAAGATGTTAGCACAGGTTAACAAATTTCATCATGTTTCTACACTACTCTTCGTATTTAAATATAAATTTAAACTATATTTCATATTATAGTACTGTGTATAAGTCACGAATTTTATATTTCGGTATTTTACATTGTTTTTCAAATCAATTTTGCTATTTTTATATTGCGGTTTGCACCTCACTTGCCTGGACAAAGAGGTAGTTGAACCTCCTTAATACTAGCAGAAGAGTACAAACTCATTTTGAATCACGATATAGATATTCTGTTGTCAAGCACACAACTAATCACTATAATATTTTTACTGCAACTGAAGGAAAAAATACTAAAATTTTCTTTAAATTGTGAAAAACTTTATTAAAAAACGACTATTATCGAAAGTAATTATAATAGATAACGATAGAAAGGAAAACGTTATACCATCTAATTCATTATTAAGCTCATGGGGTTATTACTAGGAATCGCCTCAATAATTTTTTAATTTACAACAAAATAATGCACATTTATTTGAAATTTTAATAGATAAAAGGTCTTGAACGTACATTTATCGTATTGGTTATTTCTCAACAATTTTTTAGGTTGTCATATTTTGTCAAAATGGAATTACTTTTAAGTTTGAAATAATAATGCTTTTAATAGCCATAACATCTATTAAAACTTTAATTAACTATTTGATGTTTATCAATAATTAATAATAACAAGCTATAGATTATTTTATAGAAAAATATATTGGCGAATCGGGAGAACTTGTTGCGCATCAAATCCCTTCATCAAATTTTTTATGCAGCTTTTTTTTGTCATTATTTCAAGAGAGATGTAATATACCAACAAATCGTATTATTAACCAGAACGCTTTGTTATCTCAACTTCAGTTGAGATTAATCTATATAATATAACACACTCTTGCTGCTTTCTTTTGTTCCACAAGAGACCGGAGATACAAAAAAGTATACTTTTTTATATTTAGAGTGTTCAGGATTTTTTTTTGTGGTTTTATTAGGATAATCAATAAATGTAAGAACTCATTTAGTACAAGTTTAATTTAGCATATAAATAAATTATATAATGGGTACACGGAAAATTTCTGAGGGATTATGTGATATATAACTCTGGCTGTCTTAGTGAAAAATAAATTCAACAAATTTTAAATTAAAGTGATATAGTTCACTTTTGTTTCAGTTCTTATTAGCTGTAGGATACATCTTAGTTGAATACAGCATCTTTATCTGAAGTGTTCGATCTATCATAATGTGTGTTGATTTGTGTGAGTGAGAATCGGGGACATGTTAGAGTTGATTTTAGTATGAGGTTGTTTCGATTTTGATTGGTTTCGATTTAAGTAATTAATAATAATAATAAATATAAGTGCTTTTCTGAAGTGCTTCTAAATTGGGTATATTCTTCTCTATGTTAGCTTGTATCTGAAGTTTGTTGTTCTAGATCGCTAATATCGTGGTATATTCTACCAGCCACTGAAGATATTGTGGTTAAAGTTTTCTGCTAAAGTTTTCGAATATTTTCTTCTTCTAGCACCTCACCGGCTATGAACCAGAGTTCTTGTGTACAATTGTGGTCAAGTTCACTGAGAGTATGCAAGCAAAAACGGTACGGGTTTTTGTTGATGTCTTTAGTATTCCAAACGCATTTACTGCTTTCGTAACCTATTAAGTAACATTCTCTAAGAAAGCTCTATTTAGTATTATACGTCTTTTTTGGTATTACAATTCATTAACTCTTTCAATGATTGTTTAATTTGGCTCATATAGTTATTTATTTTAAGATCAGTA